GGGGGAAGCATCGACCCACAATCGCCCACCGATCGCCGATAGGGGCCCGACGGACCCCCCCGCCCGGGAGCCTGCGCAGTCGCAGTCGGAGGCCATCGCCGATCTCTCAGCGATGCATCGCCGATTCCAGGTCCATGCTCCCCCTCTCTGAGCCAGCCCTATTGTTGCTCCCCCACCCCTACCACTGCCCTTCCCTGAGCCAGCCCTACCGTTCCCCCTTCCTGAGCCAGCCCTTATCGCTCCCCCTCCCTGAGCCAGCCCTATCGTTGCCCCCCCCCCCCCCCCCCTGAGCCAGCCCTATCGTTGCCTCTCTGAAACAGCCCGCTCGCTGCCCAGGTCCATGCCCCCCCCTCCTCCTCCTCCTCCTCCTCCTCCTCCTCCTCCCTCCTCCTCCTCCTCCTCCTCCTCCTCCCTCCTCCTCCTCCTCCTCCTCCTCCTCCTCCTCCTCCTCCTCCTCCTCCTCCTCCTCCTCCTCCTCCTCCTCCTCCTCCTCCTCCTCCTCCTCCTCCTCCTCCTCCTCCTCCTCCTCCTCCTCCTCCTCCTCCTCCTCTCCTCTTCCTCCTCCTCCTCCTCCTCCTCCTCCTCCTCCTCCTCCTCCTCCTCCTCCTCCCCCTTCAGGTCCGCGACCTCCGCTGTGCCGAGTGGCCTCGCGCCGGCGCTGGCGCCGCTCCGGAGATCGGCCGCATCGTGTACGTCAACCTCGACAGCTCGGGGTGTTGCCAGAAGTGGCCCTGGCCCACGGTGGCCCCAGCTGTCCCAGGGAGGCGCAGCGGGCTTCCAGACCCAGACATGACCGCGTCGTAACAAAACTCAGGACGGAAGGTTTTTGGCTATTTTCGGCCTCGGGGGGCCCTCGCCGGGTCTCAAAACCGTCAACAAAACGACTCAGGACGAAACACCGGCCCCGGGGAAAGGGTCAGGCCTTCCGGGGACGCCGTCCTGAAAAAATCAGGACGTCGCATGTCTGAGGAGCACTCCTCTCAGAGGAGGAGGAGGAGGAGGAGGAGGAGGAGGAGGAGGAGGAGGAGGAGGAGGAGGAGGAGGAGGAGGAGGAGGAGGAGGTGGGGGAGGAGGAGGAGGAGGAGAGGCTGCCGATAGTCCCGCCCCTGCCCGGTTTTCGCCTGTTTGGGGGCACCCTGGGAAGCCCGCGTCGCCACCTCTGGAGTCGCCTCGAAATGTCCATACGTTCTGGCCAGAACTCACCCCGGGGGAGGTCCTGGGATCAGCGGTATCTCGACTAGACGTAAGAGTGACCTTTCGCCAGAGTGTTCTTAGGCGCGGGCACAGATTTGCCCCCCAGATGGCTGATCGCGCAGCGGCAGCAGCTCAGAGCCCCAAATCATCAGGGGTAACTCGGGTCAGGGATAACTCGGGCTCGTTTTTCGGGAATCCAAACCCGAGTTACCCCGGACCCGAGTTACCCCGGATACTTCGGGCGTCCAGAGCCCCGAATCATCAGGGGTAACTCGGGTCAGGGATAACTCGGGTTCCTTTTTCGGGAATCCAAACCCGGGTTACCCCGGACCCGAGTTACCCCGGATAATTCGGGCGCCCAAGCAGCGGCTAGCGCGCCTGGAGTTGGCCTCCCCGCGGCCCCCCCAAAGCCGCGCACCAAAGGTCACTCTTACCCAGGGTCACTCTTGCGTGTAGCCGAGGTATCGGCCCCCTATCCTCGCGTGGCGCCCAGGGGCTCCAACGTGGCGCGAAGAGCTGGGAGCGCCTTGGACCAATGGCCGCTTCAGGCAATCCCCGAACGGCAGCCACGCGAGAAGGAAGTGGATGGACGACGTGCTGTCGCGGCTGCCCGCCGACTTCGCGCCGAGGGTCGAGCGCCTACCAGCGGTGGACAAGGATCGTGTGAGGGCAAGAGAGGGAGATCGGCCCACAAGGGGCGAGAATACCGACCTCCAGTTCCCCAGAGGATCTCCGAAAGTGGTAATTTACGTGGAAGGCTTCTTGCGGTCGGGCCCCTGCTTCATTTCTCCTCACTCGCCCCGCCCCATCCAGACCGTGCCACGGGAGCTGTGCACGTATGCCGCTCCCGCCCTCGCCCAGCCTGGGCCCATGCTCGGTGCATCCCTCTCCCGGGCCACCGCCATGGAGGCGCACGCACCGGCACCGGGCTCAGGCAGGGCGTGGGCAGGAGCGGCAGATGTGCGTATCTCTGTCTCCTCGACTCAGAGGGGCGGACTGCGAACGACCCGTCGTTCTCGTGGAGCGGCGCCCGCGGCTTCGGCTCGGTGGTTCAAAGATGGGGCCCTGAGATGCGGCGCCCTGAAGACGAGGGACGAGGGGCCTCAGACAATGCAAATCCCATCTGGGATCCCTACCTGCCCTGAGGTCCCAATCCCTCAGTGGTCCCATCTTTGAACCGCCCACCATTCCCTGGCCAAGCCAGGAGCGCGTATCCACCGACCCTGGGCTCAAGAAAGGCCTGGGCAGGATCGGTGCATGTGCGTACAGTAGTTTTTTTTCCTCTTCTCAGAGGAGAAGGCGGCGAACGACCTGTCGTTCTCGTCAAACCGCGCCCGCGGCTTTAGCTCGGCGGTTCGAAGATGGATACTGATGTCCTATTCGTGGAGCTCGTAACGTCCGTGACAGGGGGTCGTTTCTGCCCCACCTCCCCGTCATGGTAACAAACGTAATTGGGGGTTGGGCGGCCCCACATCAGCTATGGCGCCGTGGTCACAGGCATGGTGTGGTTATGACAGACATCGGATGGCTTATAGACGCTTTCAGAGGCGGCCGTGATCGTCGTCGTGGTCGTCGTCGTCGTCACCGCCGTCGTCGTCGTCCTGTCGTCGGCGCCGCCTCGTCCTCGTCCTCGTCCTTGCCCCCGTTGCCGCCCCCAACAGCCGTTATCGTCATCGTCGTTATCGTCATCGTCGTTGCCGTCGTCGTCATCGCCGCTCTCGTCGTCGTCGTCGTCGTCGTCGTCGTCGTCGTCGTCGTCCCCGAGTGCGTCGAAGGGCCTGCAGACGCCTTCAGAGGCCTCCAGAAACCGCCCGAAGACTCCAGAGACCTCTGGAGACCTTGAGAGGCGGCTGTCGGTCTCGTCCTCGTCGTCGTCGTCGTCGCCTTCGTCGTCGTCCTCGCTGTCGTCGTCGTCGTCGTCGTCGTCGTCGTCGTCGTCATCATCATCATCGCGCTCGACGTCGTCGTCGTCGTCTCCGAGGGCCTGGGAGGCCCTCCAGACGCCCCCAGGGGCCTGCAGAGACCTCCCGAAGCCTGTGGAGACCTCTGGAGATCTTCAGTGGCAGCCGTCGTCTTCGTCGTCGTCGTCGTCATTGTCGTCGCCCTTCTACTTGTCCTCGTCGTCCTCGTCGTCGTCGTCGTTGTCGTCGTTGTTCTAGCCGTCGTCCTCGTCATCGTCGTTATCGTTATCGTGGTTGTCATCGTCGTCGTCGATTCCGCGGACTTCCAAAGGCCTGCAGACGCTTCAAGAGGTCTCCGGAGACATCCTGAGGCGTCCGGAAACTTCTGGGACCTGCAGTGGCGCCCGTCGTCGTCACCGTCGTAGTCGGCGTCGGCGTCGGCGTCGGCGTCGGCGTCGTCGTGGTCTTCGTCGTTGTCGTCGTCGTTGTCGTCGGCGTCGGCGTCGGCGTCGTCGTCGTCGTTGTCTTGGTCGTCGTCTTCGTAGCCGTAGTCTTCGTCCTCGTCCTCGTCGTCGTCGTCGTCGTTGTCGTCGTCGTCATCGTCATCGTCATCGTCGTCGTCTCCGTGGGCCTCGAACGGCCTCCAGACGCCTCCAGGGGCCTCTAGAGACCTCCCGAAGCTTCTGGAGACCTCGGGAGTTCTTCTCAGGCGGCCGTCGTCGTCGTCGTCGTCCTCCTCCTCCTCGTCGTTATCATCCTCGTCGTTGTCGTTATCGTCAATATAGTCGGCGTCGTCGTCGCTCTCGTCCTCGTCCTCGTCGTCGCCGTCGTCGTCGTCGTCGTCGTCATCGCTATCGCTCGTTATTGTTGTCGTTACCGCTGTCGTCATCGCTATCGTCGTCGGCGTCGGCGTCGGCGTCGTTGCCGTTCTCGTCGTGTTCCCCATCCTTGTCCTCGTCCTCGTCGTCGTCGACTCCGAGGGCCTCGAAGGGCGTCCAGGCGCCTCCGGCGGCCTCCGCAGACGTCTCGAGGCCTCCAGAGGCCTCCGGAGGCCTCTGGAGACCTGCAGAGGCGGTCGTCGTCGTCGTCGGCGTCGTCGTCGTCGTCGTCGTCGTCGTCGTCGTCGTTCTAGTCATCGTTGTCGTGGTCGTCCTCGTCTTCGTCCTTGTCCTCGTTCTCGTCCTCATCGTCGCAGTCGTCGTCGTGGTCGTCGTCGTTGTACGGCGCCCAGGCTCCTCCCCTGCGAGGCCCGCCCACGTTGCCACTACCCCCCACGGGAGCCCGACCCCCACCCGTCACGGACGTCACTACGGGGGGGGAATCAAAAAGCGCTCTCACGGGGCCCTTCAGGCGATCGCAAACATGGATCAAGGGGGCGTGGATTAGCGACGGGTCCCGTTTCCATAGGAAATCGTGGATTTCCGCCGCCGAGCGAGGCGGCACTGGCCGCATTTTGGGGAGGGCACCTCCCCCGATCCATGGATTTGGCGACCGCGCGCCAAATCTATGGATCGCTAATCCATGTTTGCGTGCCCCCGAGCCCTGAGGGATGGGACCACAGCGACGAGAGGCTGGAATCAGCGCAATAACTCGGGACCACTTCTTACCCTTAGGGCCCCATCCCCCTGACATTCGCCAGCGTGAGCTCCCGACCTCTTCCCCGGAGCCATTCGTCCCTCTGGATCCTCTTTTTGAGGGTCCAGTGGCCCGATCACGGCCTCCGAAGTCGAAGAGAAAAGCGCCCGGCTTGAAGGCATCGTATGGTAGGAGATTTGGGCTCAAGGGCCAACCTTTGTCAGGAGGGGACATAATACACAGACACAATTAATCGTCGATCCCCAGGTATTCGTGAGAACGCATGGGAATTGGGGGGAATACGAAAAACAAGAAAATACATTAACATATGGAAGATCCTGGGATGTGTGTCTATCTATTTGTGTGTCCCTTGGCACCCTTGATCCGCCGAACCAGCCCCCTCGCTTATCCAAGGGTCGAGGGCGACTGGGGCGTGGCCGCGTGTCTCTTCAGCCACCTCGCCGCGCTGGCCGCGCTGGCCTCGAGCCCCGTCGAGGCCCCCGCCCACCCGCGGCCCGTGTGGCTCGTCCTCGAGGACGACGCGGTCGAGCCCTCGGTCCCGCGGCCGACGGGGCGAGGAGGATCGGACCTCGAGAAGCGAGGCATGTGCTCCGAGGAGGAGGAGGAGGAGGAGGAGGAGGAGGAGGAGGAGGAGGAGGCGGAGGAGAGGAGGAGGAGGAGGAGGAGGAGGAGGAGAGGAGAAGAAGAAGGAGGAGGAGGAGGAGGGGGGTGGGGGGGGGAGGAGGAGGAGGAGGAGGAGGATCAGGAGGAGGAGGAGGAGGAGGAGGAGGGTGAGGAGGAGGAGGACAAGGCGGGTCGAGGTCTGGGCGAGGCGGATCCAGCCTTTGGCGACGAGGGCCTCAAGGAGAGGCCCCTCGTCGCCAAAGTCTGCATCCGCCTCGGCGTCCTGGTCGGAGCGCACCCCTGGACACGTCCAGGGGTCCACTGCCCCTGGGCTCAAGGGGGGGGTGGCAAGCTCGCGGGGACGACGGGCCTCTCGAGGGTGGAGGCTTCCCAGCAGCTGCGCCTCGCCGCGGGGACATTCTGGGGTCGCCCTGGACCATCCCGAGCGGCCGCCCGAGACCCGAGCTGTGACCCGAGAACCTGACGAGAGTGGCCTCCCCGAAAAAGCTTCATAAACCTCTGAAGATAGCCAGCATACAGTCCGGCCGAGGGAGAAGATCGAGGTCGGTTCGGGGAGGGTACCCTAGTGTCCTTCGTGTTTGTTGGATGTTCTTGTGCATCCTGGAGAGGGTCCCTTTGGACGTTCTGTTTGTTTTGGCCGACGGCGGGTCTCATGTGCTTGAAGGGTGTTATTCTGGCCTAGGCCCGACTGTATTACCAACTTTCGTGTAATAAGAGGATCGTGGGCGGGTGGATGCAGCTTGGGGTTGGCGATTTGCGTCGGATCGCAATTGCTAAGTGCGTGTCGACCGATCTCGGTGTCGTGCCATCGGTCTCTTTATCTACCCGGCACGCTGTCCGTCCATATGACTACCGACCTTTCGATCCGACGATTTTCACGTTCATGTTGTCGATCGATCGCGCTATATCCCTTTCGATCAATCGCTAATCGGTCTCACCTATACCTAACCGATCTCACTCTCAAGACATCGGGCGATCTCAGAATGATAGATGAGCCTCGCACTTCATCCACGACCATGACGATGCTATACACCGATCTAGCGCTAGTAACTGTCTACTGGTCCATTATCTGTCCATCGGTATTGTCCTACGGATAGACGGGATAATCACGGCACAGCCGCCGGACAACAAAGGAATAACCATGGCACTTATGGGACAACCTTGGGACACCCGCGGGACAACCGCGAGACAACCACGGGACACTCGCGGGACAATCAAGTGACACCCATCTGACCAGTTATCGGTCTCAGTATGAATCTAACGATACCATGATCAGTCGACCTTTCGATCCTCCAATCTACTGGCATCACAATTTGTCGCTCGGTCTCACGTTCAATACACCGACTGGGTTTATTGTATATCGGTCTCGCGAGCATTTGCGGGTATCACGATCAACATATCGATCGATCCCACTATCTAGCCTTTGGGCTCGCAGTATGCCTAGACGGGACGACCACAGGACAACCGCGGGGACAACCACGAGCAGCCACGGGACACCCACGGCACAACCGCGTGACACCCACGGGACAACCACGGGACACCGACGGGACACCGACGGGACAACCACGGTCAACCACGGAACAACCACGGGACAATAATGAGCAACCGCGGCACAGCCACGGGACAACCGCAGAACAACCCCAGGATAACCATTAGTAACCGCGGCACAACCACGGGCCAACCACGAGCAACCGCGGCACAACCACGGAACAACCACGGGACATCCACGGGAACCCCGCTGGGCAAATTCTGTCAACCACGGAACAACCACGGGACAGCCACGGTCAACCACGAAATAACCATGGGACAACCACGGGACAACCACGCGACAATCGCGGGATAACCATCCACATAATCATCTATTGGTCTCATTGTGAATCTCACGATTTCATTATCAATCTACCGATCGATCCTCCAATCCACCGACATCGCAATTTATCATTCGATTGCATTTTCAATGTACATCTATATATATATACATAAACAAATGGTTCGTGTTCTCTAGATCGGAGGTGAGGGGGTGAGATCGAAGTGGAACGGAGAGCCCCCCCACCGGGAAATCGATTTCGGTTTCGTGTTCGTGCGTGCCGTTCGTGCGGGCGAGGCGAAGCTGCGTGGGCGGGCGAGAGAAAGTCTCCTGTGGCTGAGGCGCGGCCGGACCAAATGTCTCCCTTCCGGGCGGCCGGGGGCCCGCGGTGTCCCGCCGGTGTCCCGCTGGTGTCCCGTGTGGCTGAGGCGCGGCCGGACCAAATGTCTCCCTTCCGGGCGGCCGGGGCCCCGCGGTGTCCCGCCGGTTTCCCGTCGGTGTCCCGTCGGTGTCCCGAAAATGATGTTGTTGATGATGATCATGATGGTTATGTAGATGGTGATGATGATGACGATGATGGCGTCCTGGTGATGATGATGATGTTAATGATGATGATGAGATGACGATGATGATGATGATGATGATGAATATGGTGATGATGATGATGATGATGATGATGATGATGATGATGTTTCTGCCCGTTGTTGTTGATGATGATGTTGGTAATGATGATGCTGCTGATGATGATTATGGTATCCCGATGACGATGATGATGATTATGACGGTGGTGATGCTAATGGTGATGGTGATGTTGTGCCGGTGATGATATTGATGATGATGTTGGTGATGATGCTGCTGCTGATGATGATGGTGTCCCGATGATGTTGATGATGCTGTTGATGATGTTGATGATGATAATGAGCTGATGATGATGATGATGGAGTCCCGATGTCGTTGATGATGTTGACGATGAAAATGATGGTGACCATGAGGGTGTCCCGATGATAATGATGATGTTGATGGTGATGATGACGATGGCTATGTCCCGATGATGATGATCATGTTGATGATGACTATGATGAGATGATGATGGCGTTGATGATGATGGCATGATGATAATGCCGTTGATGATGATGGCGATGATGATGATGTGAAGATGACAGTGTCCCGATGACGATGGAGATGGTGGTGTTGTTGCTGATGATGATGATGACGTTGAATGTGATATCGATTGTGATATCGGTCGTGAGATCGATAGTGAGACCGCATGTGGGATCGATTGTGAGATCGATAATCAGATCAATTGTGAGACCGAGCGAATGAGATATATCGAGTGAGATCGATTGTGAGATCGATCGAGGGAAATCGATCGAGCGAGACCGATAGTGAGATGGATAGTGAGACCGATCGAGTGAGACGCTGCATCCTCCCCCCTCGAACCTCCTTATCACCCGAAGGGTGGTCGTATAGGTATACATGTATATATCTTGGTCTTGCTATCGTCTATGCGTATAACATCAGTCTATTGATCGTACTTTCTCTCTCTCTATATATATATATATATATATATCGGGCTCGCAATCTGTCTATTCGGGACGACCACAGGACAGCCGCGGGGAAAACCAAGAGCAGCCACGAGACACCCACGGGACAACCTCTTGACGCCCACGGGACAACCACGAGACAACAACGGGACAACTACGGGACAACCACGTGACAACCACGCGACAACCGCGGCACAATTACGGGACAACCGCGGCACAACCACGGGCCAACCACCAGCAACCGCGGCACACCAACGGGACAGCCACGGGACAACCACGGGACAACCACGGGACAACCACGGGACATCCACGGGGCAACCACGGCACAACCACGAACCAACCATGGGACAACCACGGGACAACCACGGGGCAACTACGGGATAACCACGGGGTAAGCACGGGACGACCACGCGACAATCGTGGGACAACCAGGTGACATCCATTTGACCATCTACCAGTCTTCTTATCCAGTTGCCTACGGCAAGTCCCGCCACCGTGCCTGGGTTGTGGTCTACAAGCCCCCTGGATGTTCGCTGGAGTCTCGTGGGATGCCTCTCGGTGGCCTCTTGGAGGCAGTTTTGAGGCCTCTTGGGGGGGCGTTTTGGAGCCTCGTGGGGGCATCTTGGGAGCGTCTTGGGGCCTCTTAGGGGCCTCTTGGGGTCCATTGGTCACCTCGTCTGGCCTTCTCGGGGCACCTTGGGGCGGAAGGCTCGGATTTTCGGTTCGTGCTCCCTCTCTGGGGCCCCTCCTGAGGTCTTGGGGCCCTCCTTGGGCCGTCTTGGGCGCCTCTTGGGCCGTCTCGGGGTGCTCACGAGCCGTCTTGAGGCCTTCTTGGAGGTCCCTTTGGCCGTTTCGGGGTGGTTTGGGGGACCTCTTGGGCCGTCTTGGGTCGTCGGGAAGCCGAAACGACGAGAACGCCGAAATCCTCGAAACACGAACGGAACATCAATGATTCGTGCCTTTAAAGCCCTCTTGGGAGACCTCTTGGAGGCCTCTTGGGGCGCCTTGGAAGCCTCTTGCGCCATTTTGAGGACATCTTGGGCATCTTCGAGCGATCGTTCGGCGATTCGGGGCCCTCATTGGACCCTCGTGGAAGCCGTGGAGAGCCCCAGGGCGGCGCCATGGCCGCCCAGGGAACTCCCAGGAGTATGGCTGGCGCGCGCGGGGAGGTGCGGCCAGGAGAGGCGGGGGCCCCGTAGAATCTTGCAAAAACCCTACCAGACAGCACTTGGCATTCGAGCACGCCTCAACGTGCCAGGGGGCACGGTGGCGGATGATTCGAATGATCTCACGATCGATCTACCGCGGAACAACCACGGGATAACCACAGAACATTTGCGGGACAACCCTGCGCACGCCGTGGCGGGCGGGGAACCGACCAAATTCGGTGCGACGTGGGTCTAGCTAGCGGAGGAATTCGCACAGCTCAGCTTCGCCCGCATTCGCGTCACGGTCCAAAGAAGCCGAGACCGACATATATGTTTTGGTTCGGGGGCTCCGTTTCACTTTGATCTCACCCCCTCCATACCTCCTATCAGTGACGAACGCCCGCGGATTTCGGCTGGAACGTGTGCCCATGAGAAAGCCGTGTCGGTTGCATGGGGCATGAGTTGTGTTGGTTCCCTTGCAGAAGCTTGCATGCAACAGGTCGTCGGCAGTCGGCTTTCCTGGACGGCAGCATGGGCAGGAGGAGGCCTGAGAAGGAGGGGAGGCTTGATGAGGATGGAGGAGGCGGAAATGTCATGACCCAGATGGGTAGAGACACATATTCCATTTGCGCCCCAAGAGTGCTCCCAGGGACATTCGCCCGCGAATTTTCTGAAGCGGTATCGAATCCACTCGATCACCTCATGCTTGTCTATTTTAAAGATCCGAGTCTGCAGTCAGTGCGTGTGTATATTTTGCCATATCATGCGCCGTTAGAGTATGGCAGTGAAGCTGAAATTTCCCGATCAGCGCTTGCATTGAAGGGGTTCTAGCAGAAATTGAAAGATTTGGCGAAAGTGCCCCGCCGATTTTGGTGGCTGGCTGGGTTCCCGGGTTCCCTGTTCCGGGTTCCCGGGTTCCTGGTCCCTGGTTCCGGTCCGAATTCGGTGGGTTCCGGGTTCCGGGGCTCTTGGGCTCCCGTGATCGATCTCCTCATCGATCTTGGTACCGATCCCATTTCAGACCATCCACCGATTGGGATTCTTCTCTGGCGCAGCTTCTGCAACGCAGCATTGGACGCCACGTGCTGACACGGCACGGCGTCTGCGGCACGTGTCGCGCGGCCGCCGGCCGCGCCTGCAGGCCAGCGGGGGGGTCCGTGGGTCTGCCGAGGTCGTGCCGGCCGATCTGCGGGGGAGGCGCGCCCCGGCCGCCCCCCTCTTCCGTGGGCACTGGTGGGATCGGCAGGCAGGCGCTCGCTCGTTGGTTTTCTTTTGTCCGATCAGGCCGAGTGGTCCCGGGTTCAGGGTTAGGGTTTAGGGTTGAGGGTTTAGGGTTTACTCGGGGGGGAGGCGCGCCGGCTGACCTGAGGGGAAGGCGCGCCAGCCGCCCTCTGCTCCCGTGGACATGCTGGGATCGCAGGCAGAGGCTCGCTCGTCGGGTTTTTCTTCCGATCAGGCCGAGGGGTCCCCTCAGACAAGGTCGCGCGAGTGCCGGGGCGCATGCGTCATTGTCCATGTGCACGCGTGTGCTTCGCTGAGCAGCGCCTGCTTTCAGCAGTATCGTCGCGTGTTCTCCCAAAGCAGTGCTTACACTCTGAGGGTTCCCAGTTGTCTTCTTAGCTAGCTGTACGGGTTCCCCCGGGCCTGCTTTGATCTGTGCTGTCATTTGTTCCCCGAGCAGTGCTTGCATTTTGGGGGTTCTCCGTTGTCCTCTTAACGAGCTGTACGGGTTCCCCGGGTTTTCTGACGGCGCCTTCGGCGCCTCCCTCCTCCAGCGCGCGCTCCGCGCGGTGAGGAGGGGCCGTGAGAGGGGCCAGGTCAGCGCCGACCGCAGGAGCCCGCTCGGATCTCCGACCATTCCTGATGATTGCACCCATGGCGGTCAACACGGAAGGACGTCTGTTCGTTCTAGCACCTGCCGTTGTTGCCATGGCGCGATCTGGTTTGGCATCTCAGCGGCTGCTCTCTTTGTTGAGTCCCAGGTCAGCTGAAACACGTCGTCTCTCGTGGTTGTCTTATTGTTGACCGTAGGTGTATGCTGTTTCTGTTGCAGCCCGTTGCGCTGCTGTTGGGACCTCGAAGCTCTGGGAAGAGTGAGCTCGTGCTGCCCGCACAGCCCAGATAACTTGAGCACACACGGCCATACACCCCCCTGACAACGTGATGCCATTATTTTTGCAATTTCCCCCTCCCCCCCTCAATGTTGAGTCGGCGGCGGCCGACGGCGGAACATGCTGATCGTGCGGCGCTCCGCGCAAGCATTGAAGTTGAAGGGCGCAGGGCGACGGACCGCGCGCGAGAGTTGCATTTCTTCTCCGGGCAGTGTACTACATCACCGTGGCGAAACTTTCTTTTAATTTGTTTTCGCCAAATAGCGCGCATCAGCGCAGAGTAGTTCGGAGTAGAAATGCTCCAACTACTCCGCGCGTGGGCGCATCCAGTTCAACAATTCGTAGGGGTTGGCGCGGAGTGATTTCCGATTTGGTTTTGGCGTAACAGAGATATATGCATTAGGCGGATCGGAAACTACTCCGCCGAATGACGCAGTCACCATGTCATGTTAGGAATCTTCGGAGGGATAGGAGATATCAGCATCATGGCAAATTAACGAAACTTTTTTGTCACGGCCGTGTATGCCAGGGCATCGCTTGGATCTTGACCCCAATCGCTGCAGAGGCGTGTGTTCCCGCGCCCCCCCCCGTTTGGCGCCACGTGCGGCCCAGACGGCCACCAGGCGGTCTCGTTCTGGGCGGGACCGGCTGCCGTGCTGCGTGCTCTGGTGTTGGCCGGCCTTGCCCTCCCCATCCCCATGCCACCACCGTGCTCCTCGTCGATGCCGTGGCGAGCAGGGTCTTTCCCCACAGAGCTGGAGCGTGCTCCAGGCACGCAGTCTCGCAAGACTCGGCGGCGCGCGAGGGGGGGAAGTGAGAAGGGGAATGCCTTCTCGGAAGGCGGCGGGATTTCTGAGAAGCCCTCGCGCCTTCTTAGAAGCTCTTGTTGTCTTCGGGAAAGGCTCAGAAAACTGCTCAGCAGGCCGGGGGTCTTCCCAACCTTCTGAGAAAGCCTTCTCCTTCTCACTTTCCCCCCTCGCTCGCCACCGAAAAGCCACAGATAGGGCACCATCACAGCAGCATCGATTGAAACATCGACCGTGGTCTAACTCTCGCATTGCCGCCCCTCTCAGAGACTCACAAGAGGCTCGACCTGGCAGGGGGGAACGGGTTGATCATTGGGTAGACCCGTGCGGCATGATCTAACGCGGCCTTCTCCGCCCGCAAGGCGGGCCATCTTCCCCAACGAGTCAAGTTTATTTGGTGATAATTTGTCTCATCCATTGTTTTGCCGATCGCCGCGGAGTAGATCTTGGCTGTTTTTGGCGCTTGTTTCAAGCAAGTGGAGTCCCTTCTCCACAGGACGCACAGTTGCAAACAGTCGCATGAAGCAGAGACCCGGAGCCATGCCCCCCCCTGGGAATCTCAGCGGTTCGCCCACACTCGTCCCTCGGCGTGGTCCTTTCTTCCTTGCGTGCTGCGAGAGCGGCGGGTCGGACATTTGGTACGCCATACTCAAAGACAGCGACGTCCGTCATCTTCAAAGAGGCCTCGTCGAGAAGAAGCACTGAGCGCTGCGGCGCTACACGCCCATCCCCGCTGTTGGGACAGCTCTCGCTGTATTGGCGTTCGTTCGTTCGTTCGTTCGACAACGGCCTGCCGCGAGGTGGGAGCAGATCTGGCCGTACGTCCCCGAGGAGCTCCGACCGCGCCGGGGCCACTCTTTCTCGGCTGCGAGCCTGGGGGGAAGTGAGCAGGAGAAGGCTTTCTCGGATGGCTCGGAGGTTCCCTGGCCTTCTCAGAATGCTGAGCCTTCCCCGGAGACAGGAAACTTCCCAGAAGGCGCGGGGACTTCTGAGAAGCCCCGCCGCCTGCTGGGAAGGGAAGTCCTTCCTCCTCACCTCCCCCCCCCCTCCCTCGCCGCCGACTCTCTTTGTGCGCCTGCTCTTCCTCTCCGTCCCCTCGCGGGAGGAGGCTGCGAGGGTGCCGACGTGCCGCGGCCCGTCCCGGAGAGGCCCCTCGCCGCCAGAGGCTGGATCGGGCCTCGAAGACGTCCGGTCGGGGCGCAGCCCTGAAGGGGTCCGGGGGGCAGGGGAGCGGTGAGGGAAAAAGCATCAAGGTTGGTGTCGGGTGTCGCAGTGTCTCGGAAACTGGAGCGTCTACATTACCAGTGGCGGGCGGTTTTTCACTCCCAGGACTTTTTCGAGGGTCGGGGACGACGTCGGAGTGGTGTGGTGTATACTTTTTGTCCCAGTTTTCCCCGGGAAACAATGAAGAATGTATGCACCAGGATCCCGTATACACAAACATCCGCTTTCCTGTGCGATATTCAGCGTGAGGCCAGAGAAAGGCGTCGGTGTACAGAGTTCGGCTCCTTAGTATCGGTACCCCTCGGCATCGGGCATCACGAGGTCTGGAGGCTCCGTCGCGGTGTCTGTCCCCGACCCCCTGAGCAAGGAAGCGATGAAGGAAAAAGCATCACGTTGGTGTCGGGTATCGCGGTATCGGTGCCCGTCGCGGGGTGTCGCGGCATCGGGTGTCGCGGTATCGGCATCGGACATCGCGAGGTCTGGAGGCCCTGTCGCGGTGTCGGTACCCGACCCTCTGAGCAAGGAAACGATGAAGAAAAAACATCACATGGGTCGGGCCGTAAATCCGATAACGTAGACATTATGCTTAACAATGAAAGACTGCTGTCGTATGTGCGTCTGAGGTCCACCAGAACCCGTTGTGTTTGCACGACTTGCCTCTAAACGTGAGGGATTAATAAAGCGGTGGGTTCGACGCGATCGAGTCCGCATGCGGCTGATGATGACCATGTTGTCGGTGACGGCTATGATCGCAATCGTCATCATTATCACCTGAACCATCAGCAACAGCATCATTGTCACCACCACCACCATCATCATCATCATCATCATCATCATCATCATCATCATCATCAGCATCATCAGCATCATTATCATCATCATCGTCGTCATCATCATCGTCAGCATCATCATCAGCATCATCACCATCAGCATCATCATAGTCATCATTATCATCAGCATCATCATCATCACCTCCATCACCTTCATCACCATCATCACCGTCATCTCCTTCGCACAATCATCACCATCATCATCGTAGCCCTTTTGTTCAGGCACCACCATCCTGTTCAGGCACCTGACACCTTGTTCAGCACCATCCAGAGCGGGGATTCTCGGGCGCGCTCGCGCCCCAACCCGGCCCTCCCCGCCTTGCGGCCCGGTCCCGCCCCTGCTGCCCGCGCATGGTGGTAATTGCCGCGCTGCGCTGGGCACGACGCCGCCGTGAGGAGGGCGCAGACGTTTGTATCGTTGTTCGCTTTTTCGGCATGCTGCCCGATCTAAGATCAAAGGCCGAGTGGGCGCTAGGGTACAGGCGTCGCCGATGCACAAGGCGTTGCAGAGCTCCGTCCTGTCATCGCGGACCTCTGTATCATTCCTCATACCGTCGATCGCGGGCACTTGCGCACGGACGGCGCCAGCGAGACTGCGACATGGGTCACCGCACGGGCCGCAGGCGCCCCTCCTGATGGCGGTCACGGTCCTCCTGGCGTTGGCGGCTCCCCTGGAGGTGGGCACGTTCATGTTGACGATGGCGAGGGTGGTGGAAACGGCCAGGCCCGACGCCGCCGAGGGCTCGACCCCTGGCATGATGGCGTGACCCCTGGAGCTCCTCAGCTTGGGGCGCTGACGCACCGACCCTTCCTGACTACAAAAAACCACGGAAACATCAAGCAGATGGCAGCTTGCCTGGAGTTCCTCACTTCCCCGCGCTGGTGTACCCGTGCGCACTCATGCTGCCGTGTGTTGGCCCCTGGCCCTGATGTTCTTCTTCGTGCCAGCGCGCCTGAGTTCCAGTCTAAGGCGTGGGATAACCTATTCCGCGCCATGGGTGCCCCCGAGGCGCATGAGGTCCCTGCTCGCGCTGCGAGTGGCCAGGCTCCTGGTGACTAGATTGCTGGTCATGCCCCCCTCTGCGCCTGCTCTCCCACGCCGTGGCAAGTGGCGATGGGAATGTGGGTCAAAGTCTGGCCGGGTCTGCTGCGAGCGTGTCGCATGATGATGATGGGTTTGGAGGATTTTCGTTGTGTTCCTGGGAATCTGGGGGCTGCGATTTCAAACCAGTCCGCGATGCGGGCCCGCTGGTTCTAAGCTTACGGTTCGTCGGCGGGGACCTTTTTGTTCCATTTTGGCCAATCCGTTGTTTTTGGCTTTACGATGAGGCGACACGCGTAGCACACTTCACAACACAGAGCAGCGCAGCACAACACAGCGCTGCTCAGCACAGCTCAGCTCAGCTCCGTCGCACGATCGCAAAGCGCGACAGGCGTGGTAGTTCATCGACACGAGAGGGGGGGCGGCCGCTATCCGTGCCAGTCGTCCAGGCATAGCAGGCGTGGCACTTTCTCGACACCATAGGGGGTGCGCAGGGGGTGGTCCCTGAGCGCGGCCGCTATCCGTGCCAGTCGTCCAGGCATAGCAGGCGTGGCACTTTCTAGACACCATAGGGGGTGCGCAGGGGGTGGTCCCCGAGCGCGGCCGCTATCCGTGCCAGTCGTCCAGGCATAGCAGGCGTGGCACTTTCTCGAAACCATAGGGGGTGCGCAGGGGGTGGTCCCTGAGCGCGGCCGCTATCCGTGCCAGTCGTCCAGGCATAGCAGGCGTGGCACTTTCTCGACACCATAGGGGGTGCGCAGGGGGTGGTCCCTGAGCGCGGCCGCTATCCGTGCCAGTCGTCCAGGCATAGCAGGCGTGGCACTTTCTCGACACCATAGGGGGTGCGCAGGGGGTGGTCCCTGAGCGCGGCCGCTATCCGTGCCAGTCGTCCAGGCATAGCAGGCGTGGCACTTTCTCGACACCATAGGGGGTGCGCAGGGGGTGGTCCCAGAGCGCGGCCGCTATCCGTGCCAGTCGTCCAGGCATAGCAGGTGTAGCCCTTTCTCGACACCATAGGGGGTGCGCAGGGGGTGGTCCCTGAGCGCGGCCGCTATCCGTACCTGTCGTCCAGGCATAGCAGGCGTGGCACTTTCTCGACACCATAGGGGGTGCGCAGGGGGTGGTCCCAGAGCGCGGCCGCTATCCGTGCCAGTCGTCCAGGCATAGCAGGTGTAGCACTTTCTCGACAGCATAGGGGGTGCGCAGGGGGTGGTCCCTGAGCGCGGCCGCTATCCGTGCCAGTCGTCCAGGCATAGCAGGCGTGGCACTTTCTCGACACCATAGGGGGTGCGCACGGGGTGGTCCCCGAGCGCGGCCGCTATCCGTGCCAGTCGTCCAGGCATAGCAGGCGTGGCACTTTCTCGACACCATAGGGGGTGCGCACGGGGTGGTCCCTGAGCGCGGCCGCTATCCGTGCCAGTCGCCCAGGCATAGCAGGCGTGGCACTTTCTCGACACCATAGGGGGTGCGCAGGGGAGATTCGGTCTCTTTACAACCAGAACAACCACTTTACAACCAGATGGGTTACTTTACAACCAACATAGGATTGGAAAGTATGGTTTTTCATCGAGAACGTCCACTTTGCAACCAGAACGGCCCACTTTACAACCAGAACGGACCACTTTACAACCAGAACGGGCCACTTTACAACCAGAACGGACCACTTTACAACC